CCTTCTCATTTGACTTCAGGCAAAATAAACTTCCTGTCACCCCCAATAACTATGCTGGCCTTGGTTCCCACGTGCCTGGGCCAGTCTGGCTTATAGGACTGTCCTGGCTCAAAAAGAACATCCCCTTTCGCTCTGACAACTGTCCCTGTTTGAATGATAAATTACATGGCCTCCAACACACAATACCCATGTGTCATGTTCCTGACTCCACGCTTTCCTCCTCTAGTCAGTCATTTCCAACTCTCCTTCCTTTCTTCCTTCTGGAACTTTTCCGTTCTTCACAGCGTACCTTTCAGAACCACGAGTTTTTCTAAGCAGACTGGGCATTCCTAGGTCTGTTATATGTGTGTGAAACTGGAGAGAGGGAGAGAAAGACTAAATTTGGAAATTACAGAGAGAAGGAATCCTTAACATAAACAGTTCAAAAGGAACACATGACCAGCCACTCCAAGCCTCGAACTCTGCTCGTGACTCCGAAGTTTAGGTTATTTCTTCAAGTTCCCCTGAAGGAAAGAGGGAATTTGTGCATTTTTAGTATCTATAGTATAGTGTTATAGATTCGGATCATAAAGATCACCTATGATCTAGGTAAGTGATGAGTGCATATCTACAATAAGAGCTGGCTTCTAATGAGGAAGAAAAAGAGGAAAAAGAATGTTTTAGCCAGAAAACTTTCCTATGCCTTGTGATGGAGGGCTGTGGAAAATATGTGCAAATAATGCTTTGCATTACTGTTCTCAAACATGCGAAATTAAAATGTTTATGTAAAAAAATCTTAAACAACACACGAGGTAAGCAAACAGCATCTTATTCCTTATGAAAAAGTGGAGGCTGACAGCAGTACAGTGAGTCACCCCAGAACCCCCCAATGTGGTGACTAAGCTGGCGCCGGAGTTCAGGTCTCCTGCGTCCCTTTCCTAGATTCCCTATGCCACACCCCTGTCTCGGAGCTTTGCTAGCAGAAGAAGATCATCTCACTGGTTGAACATGGCCTTTAAGTGGTATGACCATGTAATTTATTCTCCAAACCAGGACACCTGAGAGTGAAAGAGGGCACTTTCAATAACTATGTGGGGACAACAGAAGTAACCTGGGAATACCTCAGTCGAACTAGGATGGATGGCCACCTCGTACCCTACCTTTATGTGTTACAGAGCACTCTCCTGGCTTTCACATGAGACAGCATGAACTATTCAAGTTTTTGCGTGGCATTTGCCCTTTCCAATCCACTGAGGAGAACTGTCTAGTTGGATTAAATAACTCATCTGAATTCTTTTAAATGTTTTAACTTGTGTTGTTCATGCACAAAGACTGAAGAAAGCTTATTCCTTCACCACCTACACACACACACACCTTGGACAGACCAAAGCCATGAAGTTTCTGAAGTTCACTCAGGTAAGATCACCTGATGGGTAGACCCCAAACCCTGCATGCCCCCTGAAGAATCACAGCTTCCTCTTCTTCCTTGACAGCTAAAAGGCAAATTCTGTCTATTCTATCTCATGGGTGTCCAGCCAGTACATGCCCAGCACCACTAGCAACAATCTCGACCCAACCATCTTCCTCCGCATCTGTCTCCTACAACAGATTGGTCCCTCCTTTTAATTTCCTCAAATCTCTCTCTCTCTATGCTGCAGCCTGAGCTATCTTCCCAGACACCCATCAGGACGTAGTATCCCTGCTTCCAAAGCCTAGCAAAGCCTCCCTTCCCCTCTTCTCTGCACAGAGGCACTTACATGCCCACTGCCAAGGAAGCAGTGATGAGGCACCCAGGGGTGTGGAGGAGAGAAGGGTAACTTAGTGATTTGACTCCTCTATTAATTGTAGGTAACACGAAGAAGGGGACCACTGCCTTCAGTGCCTAGCACTGGCCTGACCCAGAAAAGCTCAAGAATTTGTTACTGAAAGAAAAAATGAATAAATGGATGTCAGTAATTTACAATTATACGCATCAAGTAACAAACTGCTTTGGGCAGGTCACAAACATGATTTTTTAAAGAATGCCCATTAATTTCTGGATGCAGTTTTAAAAATCAATGGATCCAACATTTAATGGAAAATTTTTCAACCAATTACTGTGATGGCCAGAGCTTGTTTTGTTTTTTTAACGAAAACAAAGAACGATTCATAAAATTTCCAAAGTACAATGCTATGTGGGTTTTATTTGGGGCTGAATGGTTAAAATTCAACCAAACCTCCTACACATAAAAACAGCGGAGAAGTCTGAGAAGTACCTGCACTGTCTTCTCTGTAGCTCAGCTGGGCTGTGCAGTCCTGACCTAATGGGTCCCCCGCCCTCGGCCAGCCACGCTCAGGCCTGGAAGAGGGACTTCTGGCTTACCTAGGCCCAGGAAGCCAGAGCTGTTCTGGCTCTATTGGGGGAGGAAGAAGAGGCGGGGAAGCAGGGAGCTTTCTAAACTTGAGGTGATCTGCAATCATCACTGCTAGGGTGACTTTTGTCAGATTGCTTCTATTAATAGATGTACATTCATTCCTGAGTGTAAGGAAGGAACAGGGTGCAAAAAATTAATGTTGGAGTCAAAGCTCTGTCCTCAGTCTTAAGTGAAAAGTAAAAAATGCCTAAGGGGGAACAAAGAATTTACCTACAAAATTCCACTTAACAACTGGCCTACCAGTTGGCACACAGAACTAAGTCTACCACTAGGCATGTAGTTTGTTCTGGGATATTGTTGATCCTTAGGAGAATTAGCAACACTAATTTAGGGTTCATACAGTAACCCTTTATTTCTTTTGTCAAGTACTTGGTCAAAGCACTTTTATAGTATAGGGTGTATACACATATGTGTACAGACTTGTGTGCAAGTCTAGAAGAGACTCAGCTACGTTAAAAAAAATAAAATAACTGCCCATCTTTTGCTCTCCTCTCTCAGGAATATGTTCATGTTACTTTTGAAGAAAAGAAGTGTAATCCTTGGAGACATCATTCCTTCCCCCAACAAGTCTTAAAGAGTGGCCTTGCAGTCTAAAGGGAAGAAAAGTAGGCAACAGGACTTGAGCTGCCTTTCTTTATCTGCATCCCCAAATTACCATAGCGATCCTTCTGAAAAGCTCCTTCTCTCACTGCTGCAGAACAATGGAAAGACTGACCACATACTGTGAGCTCCAGGTTAGCTTCTGCCACGGCCTCGCAGTGTTACTCTAGTCGGGAGAGTTTCCTCGTGACTGAAACCATCATGTCTCAAAGTCCTAGCCGCTGTGTAAGACAGTTTCACTCATCTTCACATCATGTAAAAGATCAAAGCTTATGGAGGCTTAGCAGCTGCCCCCAAATCACAGAATTGTGGGAGATGCCACCAGGAATTACATTTGGCCCTCTGAATTTAATTCTCCTGGCATAGTGTACTTGTGCTTTAAAATCCTTGGGAAATCATCACCAAAGACCGGAGTAGTGCTGTGTTAAAGACCAGTTTCCCAAGAGATCCGAAAAGAAAAAAAAGAGAAGAAAAACAATCGCTATAGAAAAATCACTCACACCTAAGTTTTTTCATCCTCTCTACTACTTAGCGTAACTACTGTTTGATTCATTATGTTTTTATAATGCTCAATGCTAGGGTCAAGATCATAAGTTTTTCTAGGTATGTTTTAAGAATAAAGGTAAAAAGCTTATAGATACTGAAGTGATTACAGCATGTGTTAGGCCAAAGACAAAGACTTAATCCTCTCTCTAGATATTCTGTCTTCAGAATTTAGTGACTTACAAAATACTCAACATACATAACAGACTTGAAACATTCATGTGAAAGTGATAATGTTTTAAGAATGGCAATGACTGTGCCACCAAGCATTACTAACTTGAATAGAGGAGGGCAAATTCTCTCCAGAAGATGCTAACAATTTTTTTTAAGCACAAAACAAGGTCCTTAAATATCTTAGCCATGGATGCTGATAAAATTGAATTTATGTCTAGTTTAATTCAACAATGGAAAAGTCAGCAGTTAAAGTGCAGATAAACTTCCCTTTGTCCCTCTTTTCCTGAGAAACTTTCAAATGTTGAAAATCAATTCCTTTTGTCCTCTTGATATTCATCTGCTACACATTAAATAGAAATTCTGGGCATAGAGTGATTCCCACAGGGTCTTTCATCTACAGAAAAGCCTGGTACAAATTAAATTCTTACTCTCCCTCACAAATTATAGATATGTATTATAGTAGACCATTGATGTATCAGTTCATGGTTCTGCTAGTTCAGCTAATTGTGCTCCTTCATGTAGTTACTTGGGGGTTGGGGGTGGTGGTGCTGTATCAGTGTGGAGCAGTACCACGTGCTTGGATGTACAGACTATTTTAGAAAGCATTCTGTTAGATACTGTCTTTTAGTTACTTCCCAGATCTCTAAGCCATTGAGGCTATGAGTGTGTGTGTGCATGCGTGTGCATGTGTGTGTGTGTGTTTTAATATACTGGGACAATACAAAATAATATTGCCTCTGGCAGGGATGTTACATAATGAAATGATCATTATAACTATAGTGAAAGTTATTACAAATAACATGGAAAAGAAGACCATGCAGCAAATCTCTTAGAAATGTTTAATTGACATAAACATTATTTTAGCATTGGATTTAAGGACCAATAGTTAAGGAAATGACTTTGATCCCAGGCATGTGATGTGGTTTTGGAGAGCACGGCTTATACACGCTATCCCTATTAAATCCCTTCTGTTAGAAGGGAACCCCGTACATATGCTCACATACCCAGCTGGGTTCTTGGCGAAAGAAAGTCATACAAATTTTACTTTAATCTGTTACCCCTCAAATATATTAAAAACTTTCTTTGGCAGAGTTGTTCTTTTAGGTCTTTCCTAAAGACAAAATTTGATCACCTCTTCTCGATATCAATTCCTCAAGTGCCAGACTCCCCAAATTATTCTAACTTTTTCCCAAAGATATGTTTGTCTAAGGTATCTCCTGGATCAAAAAAAGGCCACTCTAATTCATGGAAACCATCTTCTTCCCTTGGAAGCTCCCACCCGCGCCTCACCTCACTAGAATCCTCCTGCTGATTGATGACAGCGAGCGCATCCTCCGCCGCCTGCCGCTTGGCCTCGGCAACCGTGCGCTCCATCTTGGCCCGCTCCGTCGTGATCATGTCATGGGCTTTCCGCTCGGCTTCGGACACAGCCTTCTGCAGCTCAGTCATCGCCTGGCGCTTCACCTCGTTAACAGCCTCCTCTGCGTGCCAGGCACACCGAACCGGACAAGAGAACAGTTCTCTGTTAGCACAGGACGTGGACACTGTTGGCTGTTGAACAGATTTCTACAGAACAGGCACGACTGCCATCCCATTTATTGGGTAGTTCATCTGGCTATCTAAAAAAACAGCAGATCTCTGAAATTCCGTTAGGAAAACAAAGAGTGAAACTTCAACTTACAATTCTAGGAATATTTCTAAAACTACTCATAGCATTACTACTACTTTTCTACCCCAACTATTACCTCCAAAAAGTACTCTGAGACTAAACTAAGTATTTGAAGGACAAAAACCACCACAAGAAACCTGTCTGGATAACTCACACACATGAAGAATGTGGTCTGTAGCGATGCTCTAGGTCAGTGATCATCAACCAGTGTGCCAACAGCAGGCACCCCGGTGTGCTGCAAGAATGTTTAAAACATGCAATACCTACTTACTTGGTCAGGGACACTGACCTCTTTTCCCTTAGGCTGTCAAATTAAAAAAATGACAACAGCCAAATACAATCACAGCCATCCGGTATGCATGAATCAAAATCACATTTACTTTGTCGGGTTGGCAAAACATATTTTTGGCAGAATTTTAGAAATTACTTTATGTGTGCCATGAGATGAAAAAGAATGAAAATCACCGCTATACATTAATATGAACACAGAAAATATATGGGTAAAATTTTCAGACCAAAGAAAGAAAATTCATTTTACACATTAACATGTGTAAGTGCAAATAATTGTTTTAGCGGTAAAAAATAAAGCACAATAGTGAAAAGGTAATTCATAGAGCAATTAAGTTAATGCAGACCTTTTAAAGAAAATCGATGATGAAACAGACAGATGATTCAGCTTTTCTTTTTCTTAAATCATTTCCTGAGTAAGGTGGATAGGTGCCTTTATAGACTAAATGACAGCGATTTTTCAAAATCGTTTCCTTATTTGCGAATTCTAATCTGTTGTCTATCTTCTTAATCAAATACGTGCACGGCACCACACAACCAACTGTTGCGCTGGACAAACATAAGGGAACCACACCACAGGCCAAAACCACTGGCCCTGACGACAGAACCTGCAAGGTGTCTGGCTCGCCTTTTCCTTTCGGCTGTGGAAAGTGTGCAAAGACTTATCTAATGCACAACATAAGATTGACAACTAAAACAAGTAATTTCTATTAAAAAAATTAACTGTTCTAATTAACAAGGGAAAATATCCTCCCCCTGAATTAGTTTATCTAATTTTCATCTTTATTCAAAGCAAAATGACAATGATTAATTGAAAATTTAATAAGCAGTAATTATTAACTTGGCAAACCTAGTACCAATTAACACTCTATTAAAACTAATTATGACATGTTTCAAGTGCTTGCACTTAATTGTTTCACCCACTTAAAAAGCACCCTAATTAAATGTTCTGTTTAATTAAAAACATCGATTCCTAATAAAAATGTTTTACTGTAGATTAAAAATGTAAGAGATGCAAATACTTTTATGGTTTCTTAAATTTTTATGGTTTATTTCACACATCTACAGTCCATGACTTGAGAATCATCAAAGGCTCTCCATTCATAATTAACTGTCATGACTTTTTATTCCTTAAATTCATTCATCTGCAATGACTGTCTGATAGGTTTGATAAACTGAAATATAAGGGAAAGAGCCAGACTGGAATTATTAACTAAAATATCTTAAGCCTTTACTAGTTGCTTTAAGATATGCATTTATGCTCGGAATAGAAGCGGTATATTGCAAAGAGCTTGCAGCAAGTTCTTCATGAACAGGCGAAAGATGCCTTTATTACGCTATCATAACCAGCTCGGGGCACCAGGGAAGTACTGCCCTTCTAACTACACAGCCAGGGTCTAATTTAGTTTGAATATTCAAAGTGAATTAAAATTCTATCTAAGTGGTAATACAGGACAATAATTTTTGCTTACCATCAAAGCTGTAGCTTGACTAATTGTATATGCAAATCAGGCAATTTATATTTAAATTATGCATTCCTATTCTAATCCCACAGGCATATACAGATCAGCAAAGAGAATTGGTAGGACATTTGCAAGGTGCTTGAATATTTATTACCAACTGCAAACATTCACTGATTAGTTGAAAAAATATACAGAAGAAAATATTCAGTTGCAATTTAAAACCCATTTTTGTTAGATTTTTTTTTCCAAATAAAGATGTTTTGTAACTTTAGAATGTTTTTGTTACCTTTGCAGTTAACTTTTAAAAATACTGCTTTGAAGTGAAAACTGATTGAGTCCTTCAATATTGGAAAGATCTCAAATACCTTTAAATGTATATTATTATATAGTATTATTGGGGCAATATAAATACTTATATATAGTATATAGATTAAATAATAGTGATGTAGCAATATTCCTCCCCTCATTCTGGTAACTGTATGGAGATTATATAAGATATGTCCTTGTTCTTAGGAAATACGCACTAAAAAGCCTGGGGTAAAGAGAGATGACATCTGCAACTTACTTTCAAATGTTTTGGGAAAAACTTTGATCATCACAGATGATCAAAGGAAGGAAGAAAGGAGAGGGAAGATAGAGAAAAAAAGATATTAAAGCAAATGCAGTAAAATACAGAACACTGGGTGAAAGGTATAGGGCAATTTTTAATATTTTTTGGAACTTTCTACAAGTTGGATATCATTCAAAACAAAATATTACCTGATGTGCTTTTAAGCACAGAATATGCTTCTGCAATTATAATTTTCTGTGAAAAGGGATGCATTAGGTATACTACCATGACTTTGGAGAGCTCTACCCTTGATATTTTTCAAATGCTTTAAACCTTATTTACTTCTCATTTGCCACAAAGGTGGAATATTATGATGTACAACATTTTGATTGCAAGACAGAGTTTATAGGTTTTTTTCTTTAAAAATTTGCCCACAGCAAATTTTAGAATCTTGGACAAAGCGTCCAAATGGTAACAAGCTGAGTGCAGACGTCACACTCAGCGCTGGGTGTTTTCATTGTGTCGAATGCCTCAACACAGCTAACACCGGAAATGCTTTCTAAGAAGCCTAGAAAGATAAACATTATAAGCAGTTATTCAAGACTTCAAAATAGAACTGTTGTCCACACTTTGGGAATTTAATACCCTCCTTAAAATTTAGCATCCATCCACAGAAAACTATTCCCAAACTGTTCTTATGCAGGTTCGGGTACGCCTAGGAGAAGGAAACAAATGGAATCAACACCACAACCACATGATATTTTAGTCTGGAGATCCAACATACATAACAGGCACATCTAAAAAACATTCCGAACATGTACTTGATGAAGTTTAACTCTTAAGGGAATTCATAGACACAGTAGGAAAAAGGATTTAGCTTCCTCTACTCTTGAAGTCTTCATAACATACAGTACACCCAGAACTGTTAGAGAAACTGACAAGAAAGACAGCAAAGAAAAATAATAATGGACTCAGCACATTATGCGTGTCTACAAAAAAACAAACAACACCTGGTTAAGTGGACAATACCTAGTGCATTTTTTTCTTTTTTTAATAAGCACTTTATTGTTAATATAATCAAGAAACTATAAAATTCACTCATTTGAAGTTTATAATTCAATGATTGCAGTATATTCAGAGCTGTGCTACCATCGCAACAGTCAATTTTTAGTAATGTATATAGTATAGTTTTGAATCTGCTTCCAATTGCTTACCACTTATTGTAGGCCTTCCTTTGTGCATAGCTCTTTAAGTGGACTTTCCAACAAAGGTGGTATGGCCAGAAAAATCTGCTCTCACTTAGTAGTAGTCAAACAAAGAACTGAGCAGATAATAGCACAGAAGGAATTTGGATTACACAAGGCTTTACTGCCAATGTTTCTTTATGAACTATCCAGGATTTAACTTGAATGCATACTTGTATAAATAAGGGAAATGCAAAGTTTCCCTCCGCAAAAAAATGTCATCCTTCTGTCGTACAAAATAGGAATTCTTTGTACCTCTTATTGGAATAAGATGCACTAACAGCTTAAAAATGCAGGAGGAAAAAAAGGGTTAGAAGAAAGATGTAGCAATTCCTTCTCCAGGTAGGTGGTACCCAGCATGTTTTAAGAGTTTAGGAATATCCATCACTATTATCTATGTAGAAAATCTTAGAGGTGACATTGTAAATCTGGTAAGACTATGCCACTGAGCAACATATGTATTTAACCTTTTGCCTTTAAGCTGAGTGGATTTATTTGACTTGCATATTGGTCATGCAAGAGAGCTTTCTGGTTCTCAGGCTTAAGTTACTGAACCCAGAACACTATCAAGATTTTAAAACTCCTTACTGGTCTTACAAAAACAGGTATTTCTTAGAAAATCTATAAAAACACTTAGATAAGAGCCAAATGGCCAGAAAGTCAGAAAGTTACATACAACTATGCACACACCTGCGTCAAAGCAAAACTCACAGAGAAAAGTTTTATTAAAAAACTGAAACAAAAAGCCCTTGCCCTTGACTCTTGCTCCTTGATTAGGGTTCCCAGCCCAACACCCACGTGACTGCTTGCAGAAATAACCATTTTCGGTGCCTCAGCACAGATAAGCTACTTTCACAGTTGTAGTGACAGCAGCTCAAAGCCTCACTACGTGTCTGTCTGCCATGTCATCCTTAACTCTGGAAACAGGTTTGTGCTTTGTCTCCTGAGTTGGTTTCTACAGGGTTTTTGCTCGACTTCTAGACACAGTGCTGGTGCCCGACCCAGATTCTGCCATCGGAGCTGCTCTGAGCCCAGTAAGTTTACGAGTCATCAGGAACTTTAAGTGTGCTTCAAAATGTAGGGCAGTGTCTCTTAATGAAAAACAAACTGTGTACACGGAAAAGAAAAACAGAAATTTACCAACTTTGTCATTTACCTTAAAACATATTTAGCTCTGATCATTGAATATTATTAATTAGCTTGAGAGATCAATTTAAAAACTAGCCATAACCATAAAACTTCTGAGTGTCTCAATAAGTCAGTTTTTATGTGGTTTTTATTAAAATCGAAGAATTCAAAAGAAAAGGCTAAAGTATACAACTTAAGTTATAAAACACCAGATTTTTTTTCCACAAAGGAAAACTTGCATGCAAGGAAACCATTCTAGTCCCTGAAAAACAGGGGTTGATGACGGAACTATTATTGCCAGCCTCTCCATTACAGTAGCACTAGCAGATGCCACTAAGATAAAATTATTTCATGTTCTAATCAGGCCTGGTTTAAGAATATTAATCAGGATTTTTTAATTTTGTTTTGTTGCAGGGGTAGGGGGCTGTTTTGTATTGTTTTGTAGTTATTGTTAACAGTGAAGTCCTTTCTTGTCATTCTTCACGTCGCTGCATTTAACAACTGCACACAGCTGCCAGAACACTAAACTCGTGTTTTTAAACAATTCTTACCAGCTTTCTTCCAGATCTCCTCTGGCACATATCCAGAAGCAGGCCTGTGAAGGAATTCCCGATGCGCATCTATAAAAAGGATAAAAAGCAGTGGAGAGGAGGAAAGCACATGAGCACTGTTATGTCATCATATCAAGTACAAGGAGGCTATGCCCATTCTTTTGGCTTCTTTACAAAAACACAATTTTAAAAGGCTAAGCATTTCACTTCTGGAAAATAAACAAAAATAGCAAGAGCAGTCATCTGAGCTCAAGGAAGACAGGCGATTGGTCTAAATGCCTTATCGGTTCAAAGCTGAAGCAATGTTAATAATTTCATTATACAATATGTTTGAGAATACTGTTCCCAGTGTGGATCGCTATGGGAATTTCTATGGGTATATTTTATTTAAAGAAAATAAACTGTATTGGTAGTTTTGCTTTCAACAGTCAAACTGGTGATTTTTAAAAATCTAATGTTAGGATAATAATATTTCCACACACCTCTGCCTCTACCACCTTTGAATAAATGGTGATCCTTACTGTGTGGCTAACAGGTTCTCACAATTTAATTAATTCTCAAAATTATAGTTTAGCTTTTAACATGTTCACACCAATTAGATCATATGACTTTGACACGGGTGAAAAGAAGAATCATTAGAAGGGATTCCCATATTCAGTTAACCAAACAGAATTAGTACGCGCTTTACAAAAGAGAAAATGAAGTTCTTCTTTAAATACCATGCTTATTATGCTCGTAAAATTTTAAAACTTTGAGAAAACAGATAATAATAAAGTTGAGGGAGGAATGCTAACCTCAGAATAACATATCCATGGTAATGACATGGTACCTTTTATGTATTTTATGTATGTGTAAAAGTAAACTTCAAGTGTATATATATAGTCTTCTGTAGCTAAAATATTCATTACATTCTTCCATATTGAACTTTCAAGGAAAGTATATGTAACTAGACATTTTGAGAAAGAAAAAAATTCATCTTAACTGTAAATAATGTAATAATTATTGAATTCTTGATAGGTTTCAAGTAACTGAAATGTTCTCTACCTGTGTATGTGAAGTAGCAGACCATTTTGTTTAAACAATATTTTATCTAATGGTATGTTGAAGGACAAAAGAAAGGCCATCCAGTGTTCTAGACTTTGCAAAGCTAAAGAATATCAAAAACGGAAGAAAAGTAATCAATTTAGCTAAGTTTGTATCTTTATATTTGAATGCCTTCGATACATTTGAGTGTTTTGAATCCAGTAGGGTACACAGATTATCATTTTACCAACACACAAGACATTCCCAGCGATTTTGAATCAGAAAAAGCTTATTATAGTTTGGTGAAGGGTGTATGAAAACTTGGTACTATCTTTGCAATGTTTTTTTAAATCTCAAATTATTCCAAGCATAAAAAGCTTATTTAAAAAAATTTACATTGTAATTTTATGAGTACTGGGTAACACTGGACTGACTGGAAATACACATGCATTCTATGTGCCCTTTCACTTCTATGAAGTGACAAACACCCAAAGTTTTTAAAGTAATTTTCATCCATAAAAGAAAGAAACCTAGATAAAACAGTTTGGTCCATATATGACTGTAAGGAAATGTGATACAGCTAATTAGAGGTGTCAGAATTACTTTCCGCACCACTACAAAGGTTCTCCAGAAGAGCTGTAGTGAAGTTCACGTTGAGCAGTAAGACACAATGAAACAGATTTACTTGTGACAACCTTTAAAAACAATTCTTTAGAAAAAAGACTTTGGCTTAAGTGTAGTTTATTCTTAAAGGAGGCAAGAACATACAATGGGGTAAAGACAGTGTATTCAAGAAATGGTGTTGGGGAAATTGGACAGATACATGCAAAATAATAAAACTAGACCACATTTTTACACCATATATAAGAACAAACTCGAAAAGAATTAAAGACACAGGTGTAAGACTTGGAACCATAACACTTCCAGAAGGAAACCCAGGCAGTAAAATCTCTCACATTTCTCATAGCAATGCTCTTTCTGATATGTATTCTTGGGTAAGGAAAGCAAACAAATAAACAAAAAATAAATGGATGACACCAAATTAAAAAGGTTTTGTACAGCAAGGGACACCATCAACAAAACAAAAAGACAACCCACTGAATAGAAGAAGATATTAGCCAATACTACATTCAATAAGGTGTTCATATCTAAAATTTCTTTTTAAAATAATCTGACAGCTCAGCACCAAAACCACAAATAATTCAATTAAAAATGGGCAAAGGAGCTCAACAGACACTTCTCTAAAAAGATATACAAATGGCAACACATAAAAAGACGTTCAATGTCACCAATCATCAGAGAAATGCAAATCAAAACCACATTGAGATATCACCTCACACCTGTCAGAATGGCTGTCATCAAACCAACAAACAACAAGTACTGACGAGGAGGTAGAGGGAACCTTGGTGCACTGTTGGTGGGAACACGGACTGGTGCAGCCACTGTGGAAAACAGTATGGAGTTTCCTCAAAAACTTAAAAATAGAACTGCCATGACCCAGTAATCCCACTCCTGGGTATGTATCTGAAAAAACCAAAGACACCAATCTGAAAGGATATATGTACCCCTATGTTCACTGCAGCATTATTTACAATAGCCAAGATATGGAAACAACCCCGTACTCATCAATGGAAAAGAAGATAAGAAAGTTGAGGTACATACAGGGGTGGGCAAAAGTAGGTTTGTGAGTACACATAACACACACTTTATTCTGGTATAATTATTTATTAATTTGTATTTTTCCATATGAACAATTGCAAACCTACTTTTGCTCACCCCTGCATTTACAATAGACTACTACTTGGCCATAAAAAAGAATTAAACCTTATCATTTGCAATAGCTTGGATGCACCTAGAGGGTATTATGCTAAGTGAAATAAATCAGAGAAACAAAGACAAATACCACATTATTTCAATTTGTATGTAGAATCTAAACAGCACAATAAACAAAATAGAAACAGACTAATAGATACTGAGATCAGACTGATGGTTGTGAGGGAAAGGCCATTGAGGGGCTGGATAAAAAAGGTGAAGCGACGAGGAAGTACAAATTGGTAGTCACAAAGCAGTCACAGGAGTGTAAAGTACAGCTTAGAGAATACAGTCGATAACACTGTAATAACTATGTACTGTGTCAGGTAGGTACTGCCAGGGGGAATATTTTATAAAGTATATGATTGTCTAACCACTATTCTATACACCTGAAACTAATACAAAATAATACTGAATGTAACTTAAATAAAAATCACACACATGCACACACACACACACAAACAAAAATGTCTGAAGACAAACAAAAAAAATGCCTTCATCAAATTACCAAAAGTTTTTTTCCCACTTATTGAATTATGGAAAGATCAACAGGTCCATAAAATTATTTTTTTATAAATGGCCAATTATTTCATAGGGAACAGAAAAGGCAACGTTAGGGTATCCAATGTCCATGCGTAAAAGATACCAATTACCAGTCCCAGACAATGTAGACAAAAGTTAGTTCTGGAGTCCCGTAAAGTTGAATCTTGGCTTTGACATTTCTTAGCCATGTGACATTGGGAATACATTTGAGAGCACTGAATGGGCTACTTCCCATTACATGCTTGGCATGGCACATCCTAAACTCTCCTTGGAGGTTAGTTGCTACTACCCTCATTATTATTTAGGAGGCTGTCCAATAAGAATAGATACATACTTATTTTCTTATAAGGTGAAAAGAGACTTTCAAGTTTCTCTTTTTCTCCTAGCACTTAAGTCCACAAATAGCATAAAACTTTAAAGAAAACAAAACCATTGGAGAGGTTTAGATTAAGCAATAAATACCAGTAATTTTTTATTCTCTGAGTTTGTCACTTACAGATAGACAGCAATTCACTGTCTATCCTTAACTATAGTTAGCAATTCACTATTTTAGTCTGCTTGGTGGAAAGTCCTCAAATTTCTTAGATGATACTTTTATCAATTTTATTATAACTTTATGAATGTTAATAGCCCTCAATTTACTCAAAGATAAAGTATACAGCTCAATATCTAACCACCTTCCCATGTGCTACATAGTAAACATCATTACAGTCCATCTATACCACACACTGGAAAGCTGTGCAACATTTCACATACCTGTCTACACCTAACCTAAAAACCTGACTGAAATATCAAAGCCAATCAAGCGAATTTTTTCTTAGTCCTCTACTACTTTGTAAAATAATAATTTTTCAAAAACGCGGCAGACTCTAAAGGCAAATAAATAATAAAATATTCATATATTTTCATATATGTATACATATTTCACATTCTAAGTTAATATGTCCTTCAATTCTAAGTTAATATGTCCTGCCAATGGAAAGAATGGAGTAATCAATGATAGATGTACTCCTCAGAATCTATTTTGATACAATGATGAATACAAGAACAGCTACACAAACCACATGACTAATAAATTTAACATTTCTTTTCTGATTATTAGCAATGACAGAGTCTACTTAGGCAAAACTGAGTTTAAAAACAATAGAAAATCTTGCGGTTAATCAATATCACAAGAGAACCTTTTTTTTGTGAGGGCAGGATTTTGTTATGTTAGCATATTGGCTAATTTAGACAAACCTATGAAAAAGATCTAATTTTCGAAGGCTCAGATTCTAAAGCTAATTTTTAACCATTAGCACCTGACTACCTATAAAACATCAGTTGCTATGAAATGGGTATTTAATAAAATGCAGTGGTAGATGCAAAGAAGAGCTTACACGAGACGGTTTAAAATGTGCAACCTATTTATCTGCATCTACGGAAAGATGGAAAAATTACAGAAAAGTTCTCTGCATTAAGTTTAGCTTGCTTTGGGATGCAAATTCTTAGGGGCAAGAGAGGAAGAAAGCCTCCAGAAGATCGCACACATTTATTGAGAGAGGACCGCCAGTCAGGGTGGGAAAATGTTATAGGAAATGTGAAAGAGCTGAAAGCAACAGATGACACACGAAGAGCTGGAGGATGCACTACACTTATGACAGAATGGAGACCGCTGGACACTAGATGCAGCGAAGGCTGCCATCAATATA